CGTCGCCCCCGGCTTTGCTCCGCGTCTCCCGGGTCTGCTGGGGGCCCTACCCCCCCCAAAAGACCAGGGAGACGCGGAGCAGCTTTTCTCGCCCCAGAGGACGCGGGCGGTGGGACCGTGGTGCATCTGGGCGTCCCGCCGCTCCCGTCCTCCGGGGCGAGAAAAGCCCTGTTCGTAACTGCGGATCCGACATAAGTTGGATCCGCGTAACTCGGGGACTGCCTGTACTATTGGGGAATCACTCATAAAACCATGTGCAAAAGATACTGTAAAGTGTATGTTGGATCAGGAGTCTTGTCAAAAAGTTGAGGCTATGCCGCTATCAAATTATACTGTCACACGTCGTATTCACGATCATGCTGCTGATATCAAGAAGGATCTTATTGTTCGGCTGCATTTATGTGATGCATATGCATTACAATTAGACGAGTCCACTGACGTTGTAGGTCTTGCAGTTCTGCTTGTATTTGTCCGTTATGATTTTAATAGTTCTACTGAAGAAGACTTACTTTTACGTGAATTTTTGCAAACCAATACGACTGGTGAGAATATATTCAATTGTATCGATAACTTTATGAAAACACATTAAATAAGCTGGGAAAAATGTGTTGGTGTGTGCAGTGATGGTGCCAAAGCAATGGTAGGAACAGTGGTTATTGCTGAAACATGAAAAAAAAAAATGTAGCACCAAACTGCTCCAGCAGTCATTGCATTCTCCACAGACATGCTCTGGTAGTTAAGAATATTTCTCCCTCTCTTAAAAATGTATTGGACGAAGCAGTACAGATTATTAATTATATAAAAACTCGACCATTACAATCAAGACTGTTCAAAATTATGTGTGAAGATATGGGGAGTCAGCACACAGCCCTGCTTCTACATACAGAAGTCAGGTGGCTATCACGAGGCAAAGTGCTGGTTAGATTATTTGAGTTGCATAATGAGCTCTCCGCATATTTGATGGATCACAAATTCCAACTGTCTGATCATTTAACAAACTTTTTGTGGTTATCGAGAGCTGCATATTTTGCAGTCATCTTTAGAAAACTAAATCTGTCACTGCAAGGAAAGACTGTAAATATTTTTAATGCGAAAGATCAAATGTCATTGTCATGGAAGCTACAGTTTTGGATCTTGTCTGTAGGACAAAATAGTTTGGATTGTTTACCAACCCCAAATGATTTCCTTGAAGAAAATGAATGCAAACTTGATGAAGATATTCTCAGTGACATTGCAGATCATCTTCTCGATTTATACATGAACATTATTAAGTATTTTCCAACCATAAATGACAACAATAACTGGATTTGAAATCCATTAAGTTAACAGAAAAGCCAGTCAGTTTTTCTACACAAGATTATGAAAACCTAATCGAAATCCCTTCAGATGGCTAATTAATACAAACATTTAAAGAAGTTTCTCTGATTACATTTTGGGGTGACTTATGTCAAAAATCAAGAATATTCATCTTTATCAAGATGTACAATTCATTACCCTTCACCTGCACATACTTGTGCCAAGCTGGGTTCTCGAACTATGCAGCAACAAAAATGAAATACAGAAGTCGACTGAATGCTGCAGCAGATATGCGAATCCAACTTTCTAGTATTAAACCAAATATAAAAAGAATTTGCCAAGAAAAGAAGAAAAACCCCTCTTTGCATTGAAAACTGTCAATATAATTCATATTATTTTTAGCTTTATTTTTTGTACACATTTAATGTGATTTTTGTTTTAAAATATGCTGAATTAAAATGACCATATTTAGCATCTTATTACTATTAATTGTGGTGTAATTTGCTTGTCAAACTTTTCCCCTGGCTGTAGGGGTTCCTTTAAATTTTTCCAAGTTTAAAAGTGTTCCGTGGTCAAATAAAATTGGGAAACACTGCTCTATGCCAATATCTAAATCGTTGAAGATACTGAACAGAACCAGTTCCAAAACAGATCCCTGTGGAACCCCACTTATGCCTTTCCAGGAAGATTGTGACTACTCTCTGTATTATCAGATCAACAATGTATGTTGCACGCTACCTATATGCATGTGGACACAAGGATGCCCCATTCCTATCAAATATTCAGTAAGGTAACATGTTCAAATCAAAGGCTGAAGTGGCTTAAACAGGAGAAATCAGCAATCCTTTTCCACTAGATGAGAAATAACCCTCCAAAAGAAAGTAAAAATCAATGAGAGAGCTGAAATTTATAATCCTGACTTCAGCACAGTTCAGTGCTACTTAATGCAATAACTCCTTAACTTTTTACTACCGTAAGTATGCCCACCAATTGTCATTTTTTTGCTAGGCACTGAGAGTTCAAAGTGGGGGAGGGGGAGGGCAAAATAATAGGCAAGTGTTCTCTTTCACCAGGGCTGCTGTCTCCTTTTCTCTCTGCCAAGACTACACTGATCACCTACAGCAGCACCCTAACCTCCCTATCCTTGTCCAGTGCAGATTATTCTAAGATACATTTTATCCTGTCCTTGTGACTTGCAGACTTCTAGCTGTTTTCTACAACTATATCATGTGATTTTTCTAGTTTAAGTATGTGCACACCTTCAAGGCTTCATTACAGCAAAAGCTTTTAACCAGATCAATTATCTGGTATTTCTGTTATGTCCCAATACAAATCTTCAGTTTAGTAACCGAGACTGATCTACTGCCCAGCAAGTTACCAATTGCATGTTCTGCACTCTACTTTAATGCAAAAGAGGCAGAAGGCAAGTAAGGAAGCTGGAAACAGGATTTATTTAAAAAAGCAGCTTCATCGGGTAAGTATAGATTCAGCCCAATTTCCAACACCTTCTATGTCTACAATGATAACTGATGTTAATAATTATGATCCTGAGGCACTGCAAGACGCTGAAGTACCTTCTGAATCAAAGATTAAATTATGCTCAGTATAGTTTTACTGTTAAGTGTATTTATAGTGATCTGGCTGTACGCCATGGGCTGCCCACAGAGATATGTAGCATAGGGATGTAAGCGACTAGTCACTTCTCCCCCAGCCCTTACCCTTTTCTGCCTCTAGCAGCCTGGCTCCTAATACATTTGAACTGCAGAGGTGCAGCAGGGGTAGTGAGTGCCCCCCATCGACTAGTTGATGGAAATTCCATCGAATACTCAAATAGCTGATTATTCATATTTTAACATCCTTACGGTAGCATCATAAGATAACCGACACTATAGAAAACTTTACCTGTATACACCTAAAAGTTCTTAAACTGCACAATGGTTGGCTTCTTGGTTTCAAAACCACATCACACAGACGTGGGAAAGATCCTTCGGTGAGACACTCAAGAAGCCAACCATTGTGCAGTTTGTTTCAAAACCACATCACACAGACGTGGGAAAGATCCTTCGGTGAGACACTCCCTTGGGTATGTCTACACTGCACGCTAGTTCGAATCACAGCTGATTCAAACCAGAAAGTGCGCGCTGGGACACGTTAGTTTGGACTAAAGCCCTTAGTCCAAACTAACGTTACTCCTCATTTTTTGAGGAGTAACGTTAGTTCGGATTAAGGGCTTTAGTCCGAACTAACGCGTCTCTGGTTCGAATCAGCTGCGATTTGAACTAGCGCACCAGCGAGATCATGTTAATGAAGCGCGGGATATTTAAATCCCCGCTTAATTAACTACTTCGGTTGTCTCCATTTGCATCCCTAGTCCGAACTAGGGATGCAGTGTAGACGTACCCCTTCTCTTTCTCTGTGCCATTCCCAGAAGTGGATGGCTGGTGACACTGCCATGTCTCTGCATGCTCCTTGTGGGCTCAAGTAGTACGCTGAGACCTTCTGCCTCCTCCACCAAAGCATCACCCCACAGCACCCACTGGCCAGTTTCAGGACAATGGGAGTTGTAAGGATGGTGCTGGGTGGGCAGGAGCAGCATGCGGAGACCCGCTGCTGCCCCCTGTCCATAACGGGCATACAAAGACATGGCAACAGCATCTGGCCACTTCCAAGAGAGCCATGGGGCTGTGGTAGGCACCCTGTCTGAGCACCCAATTGCGTCCCGTGCTGAACAGAAATGCTGGACATATTTTGCTCAGCAAACTAAACATACTTATGGGCCCTGTAATAAACAAACCTAAAGCAAAAACCTACCAGTTGCAAAGCAGGTGTAATTAGAGTTTTTACCAGTTTGAGAGGTACAGGCTTTTCTTACTGTTCCCTATTCTATAGATCAGAAACGAAAGAAGCTTTTAAATGTAGCCACCACAGGCAAAAAAAATTGGCCAGTGTTTAAATATACTATAAGACTAACAATGATTTAGAAAAACTTCCATTCACTAAGATAGAAAATTACATACTGTTGAGATTACAGCCTAAACTAACATTGTGCAGTTTTTATTTTCAAGACCTTACTTTTTCATATAAACTAAAATATACAGTATTCTTGAGAACACTGTGGCGTGATTTGTTAGTATTTTCTTTTTGCATAAGTTGTATGCACACATTCATAAAGTATCTTTGATAAAAAGAGGCTTAAGCCTTAAATTATTTACCTGGGACCAGGTGCCCAATCATCATCGAAGTGTGAACGCAACTTCAAAGTTTCTTCCTTCATGGGTTGATATGTCCTGTAATAAGACAAATCCAAGTCTCAAAAGTGCAGTATAAGTTACACCATGCCTGCTTACTGACATTTAATTCACAGGGGAAAGGCCTATCCCACCTAGCGGGACTTGTTTCCACTCTTTGAAAGTCAGTGTATTTTCTCTGGGATTCCTAGATATACATGAAAAATAGCTTTCCTACTGCTAGGAGTAACAGAGAATATCTTGAGCTCACTATCAGGAAAAAAAAAAGCCAGATGAAATTCAGGTATGTAATTGGCTACACGCTAACATCCCTAGAGGAGGGGTGGCTCTGTGCCCGTGGAAGGGGTGGGGCCTCGAGCTGTCAGTCATTTGCAATGCTCAAACCACGGCAGGCCCTCCCTCCTCCAGCCCTCAGAGAGCCACATGGTGCTCCAGCAGCAATTCAAAGAGGCCTGTGGGTGATGGCCAGAAGCACTGCACCCTTGACTATCTAGGCCCCAGGTAATTGCCGTTTTTGCCTCCCTTACCGGTGGGCATGCAGTCCCCCCATCCAGTAATCACTGGCCTTGAATAACAAAATGATCTCTGAAAAGCGACGTGTTATTTAACTGTCTGTTTTATGGTACCATTGCAAATATGCATGTGGTCACAAATGTAAGAATCTACAGGCAGCCCCCAACTTGCGACGCGATCGGTTCCTGGGTGTCATAACTCAAACCCGAATTTACGATAGGCGCCGTCTGTAAGTTGGGGGTTTTCAGCCCCTTCTGCACTTACAAAGATGGTTGTAAATGTGGGGGGTCGCAACTCGGGCCGTTGCAAGGCGGGGGTTTCCTATAGTTTCTGCATGTCTGAGAAATTGTATACAACTGTTTTATACTGCAAAAGGACTAATTCTCCACTGCTTTCCGAGGAGGAGGAATAAGCCTTGCAACCAAAGATTCAAAGAATTCTACAATTGTGTCAGGTAGGCAAGCATTTATGCCTCAGTTTACCCACCTACCAGATGGGATTAAAGAAACAAATTACATGGCTTACAGAAAAAGTCCGCGATTCTGGGAAAAGAGCCTAAAGGACCTCCCATGGCTAGAACCAGTCTGGAGCAAGTGTGGCAACCTCCCAGTGCACAAAGCTACAGGGGTGCAAACATGCTCACATGCCTTGGGCACTAACATGCTTAGTTACAGCTCTGGAAACTATTTCAAATCCTCTGTTCTAACCACAAATCCATGTACCCTTATTTATCTACTATCTTCCAGTATGCTGGGGGGAAAAAAAATCATGTACTAGCTCACACACTTGAATTTGTCACATACCTGTTTTGCATGTTACACATAAACTGTTCATCTTCTCCAAGTTTATGAGACCTATCCAAGCAGCAATATCGACTGATGCAGTTTCCACAGCAGAACTGTGGGCAGGATTTTTCAGAATACACACGGCCATCAGAATCTGTGTATGCCCTACAATATTCACCGAAAGCTGAAAATAAGGAAATAACCAATAGTCAGACGTTGAAAATTCAAACATGTTTCGATTAATCGAACTTAGCTGTCAGCTCATCAAGTGTGATATCAGAATATAATAAATACTATTTCAGTTGTGTCTAAATTCATGATTTCCAACACAGCTAAGGTGAGTTCTCAGCCTTCAGTCTTTCCATTTATAATATGCTGTCTCCAATCAAGATTGCTTGGAGAGAGCTACCTTTTCTCCCATGCATGTAAAGTAAAGTTTAGACATTCCTTTTGGTTTTATTTTGATCACAATAGCTGCTAACAGACAGAGCAATGATTTTCGGATACAGAGACAGCAGTGCGGTGTGGCAGCAACCCCTGTCAGGAGGAGGGAGACCTAAGCTCCTGGACCCACCACGAGCCAGAACTGAGCTGAACTGAGCTGCCTGCCCGGCTCCTAATACACTTTAAATGCAGACACACAGTGGGGGTAGCGAGCTAGGAGTGAGCCAGCCTGCTAAAAAATTAACTGAGGAGGGAGAGCAGAAATGCATATTGTCTAGAGCATTAACCTATAAGCTTTTGCTTATCGGTTAATTGGTTAATCAACTACACTATTACATCCCTATGCCAAACAGGACTGAAACCTCACATAAATCCATCTTAATCTGTGTAACATTTTTACACCGAGAAAGCTCGTTAGCTCTCTGTCAATTATCAATTAAATAAATATTAAGTTAAAATTAGTTTATGTCCCAAAACAAGAGGTTTCAACATGGTCTTTATTTATGGCAGGAGTGGGGAAACCTTTTTTTTTTGGATCAGGAGGCCACACAAAAGGGAGAGGCACAAAATGCAAAAACCACACCCAACACTCACTGATGTGGCCACCCAACGGAAATTTTTCACTCCCCTGGCACTCCTGGTAGAGAACAGGGAGGACAAAGGTTCAGAGCTTCCCAAAGGGCAAATTAACTCTTCTGGGTTCCTCAGGGTTAATAGATATTGAGAGCCCCCACTAGGCTCTGGGGTTGGGCCAAAAGCGTGGGTCCAGCATGTGGGAGGGAGCAGCCAGAGAGTGAGATAGGGATGAAGGGGTTTGGGTGGGATGTAGAGTCCTGGAGCAGAAAGGAGTGACAGTCTAGCCCCACATCCTTCTTGAAATGTGGTGCCCAGAAGTGGACACAATACTCCAATTGAGACCTAATCAGCACTAAGGATATTAAAATGCAGTTATCTGACTAGTCCACGGAATTTCCATTGACTAGTCAATAGGCACTTCCACATTCCTCCTTTGGAATGTACAAGAGCCCCTGTTGGAGCTCTTGTACATTCCAAAGGAGGAATGCGGAACTCCACATACATCCCGAGGCCAGCAGGAAGTCCTGCTGACTCCAGGCTGCACGTGGGTGCCTACTTTGAAATGCACAAAAGCCCCCACTGGGGACTCTTGTGCATTTCAAAGCCATGGAGCCTGGGGTCAGTGGGAGAGTCCCCAGCTGATCCTGGGTTCTGGGGAAATGCCACAGGGAGCCCGAGATCAGCTGAGGAGCTCCCAGCTGATCCCGGGCTCCACAGCTACCCCTTGTATTTTATAAAATAGAGGCAGCAAAAGGGGAGGGGTGATATCAACTAGTCAAAAGACTAGTCTTTCACATCCTCAATCAGCACAGAGTTGAGCAGAAAGAATGACTTCTCATGTCTTGCTCACAACATTCCTATTAATGCAACCCAGAATCAGGTTTGTTTTTTTTGCAACAGTGTCACACTGACTCATGTATAACTTGTGGTCCACTATGACCCCTACATCCCTTTCAGCAGTACTCCTTCCTAGACACTCACTTCCCATTGTGTATGTATGAAATTGATTTTTCCTTCCTAAGTGGAGCACTTTGCATTTGTCCTTATTAAACTTTTTCCTATTTTCTTCAGATCATTTCTCTAGCTTGTGCAGATCATTTTGAATTTTGACCTTATCCTCCAAAGCATTTGCAACCTCTCCAGCTTGGTATCATCTGCAAACTTAATAATCATACTCTCTATGCCAGGGATGGGGAACCTCAGGCCCAGGTGCTGGATGTAGCCCTAGGATTTCCTGGGTCTGGCCTCTGAGACTAAGGGCTTCCCCCAGCAATGGAGAGCCTGTGCTGGTGCTCCAGCTTCCCCAACACTTCCCTGTAGGGTTGGAGCACTAACCTGCCCCCCCCCCCCCAAGGTTCTGGTGTGTGAGGGGAATGTGAGGAGTGTCTTTCTGCTTCTCACTCAGGGGCCACATTAGTAAGGATTTGGTGGGGGGTTTTTTGTTTTAAATTATTCTCACTTGTGTGTGGTCCCCAGCCCAAAAAAGGTTCCCCGCCTATGTTCTATGCCATCATCTAAATCACTGATAAAGATATCTAACAGAACCGGTCTCAAAACAGACCCCTGCAGAACGCCAATTGTGTCATGTCCTTCCAGCAGGATTGTGAACTGTTAATAACTGATCTCTGAGAATGGTTCTCCAGGCACTTATTCACCCACCTTATAGTAACCCCATCTTCGTTGTACTTCCCTAGTATAAGGGCAATAGAGGTGTGGGGTCCAGACATGAGGAGGATCGGGGGCGCTTACCTGGCTCCACGACCCCTGCTGCTCTCAGGCACCATCTCATGCTGTGGGGAAAGTCTCCAGGAAAGAAGTTTCCTCGATGCCATTCCCCAGCCAGAGCGAGAGGGAACAGTAATGTGCAGACCTGTTCGCTCCCCTTGCAAGCTGGATGCGGCCTGCAAAGCTCATGGCTTCCCTCCACTGCAGTGGGAAGTTGGCACTGGAGCACCAGCACAGGCTCCCAGCTGTGGGGGGCGGCAGGGGAATGAGCCTGGAGCTGCAGCCTGCCCACAAGGAGGTTCATAGACTGCAGTGTGAGAACCATTGCCTTGTACCCAATAGCTCCTTTTTAGTGCAAAAAAACTTGATGTGCTAAACACACCCACCCTAATATAGTACAGTTTTGCTGGAGGGGCAGAGGGAATCCTATCTAATGTTAATATCTAGCCTGTCCCAAACATGTCAGGACACGCATTCGGTGAGAAGAGATGCCAGGGTCAGTGTTCTGAAGAATGAGATCAGGAAAAGATGTTCCGGACAATTTCTGAGAAGTCCTCTAATCCCCCTTCGCAGCCAGTATGAGGCAGAAGAGTTTTGGTTGGGACTCGCCTAGCTGGGAGTGACTCGACTCTCCGGGGCCCTGGGGGTCTGATGCAAAGGGCCCCTCCCCGGGACCGGGGGGCGCAGTCCCCCTGCCGAGTCCAGACC